TTCTAATGATATACATAAAAGCTTTTACATTTAATATCACTTTTATGTTTCTTTTTCTAAGTTATTCATGGATCTAGAATGCTGATATATGTACTTATTTGATTATATTATATACTTATTTGATTATCATATACTTTTTTATTTTATTTACAGATATTTTAGTCGAATATATTGTGTTATCTTTATTCATTAAAATACTATATGTTCAAAAACTTTTGATTTGCTCCATTTTTATATATAATACAAGGACTTGTGAATCAATAATTAATTATAATTCTTAGAATGCTCACAACGTATATATACGTATATGATATATGATCATAACGAAGCACTTAGTTATCATTTGTTTCTTCAAACTTCCATTAAACTATTAATTACTGCCAACTGTGCTACTTTTAGAATTCTCATAGTTCTCTATGATATATTAATTAAACACCATTCACTGCACATTTATTTATTCATAGAGTTGGATGCTTTACAACAGCACTTTTATACTTACAAATAAAATTTTAATAATCTGTTATGAAGAATGGCAATAAAATATTTTGCCACTGGGACTAAAACTACTTACATCGGTTTTCAGTGACCAATGTTTGATATCAATTATAATACAATTAAGTCAATGTTTGCAGCATTTTTTCTAAAATATAATTTTGTTTATTAAAAAAGATTTTCGAAAAATAAATAAACCTACTTTTTCATGAGAATGTTTTCAGTGTTTAATTAAAATACTTTTCTAAATGAGATAGAGAATTTTTTTTTTAATTTTTTTTGTTTAATATAGTTTCAAGAAAACACTTTTTTTACATTTTATTATAGTTAGTATTTCAGTGAGTGAAAATTTTTTTTTCACTTCTATTATACATATACTACTTAGATTTATGTATGTTAACTAGAACCACATATTTAATACTCAAATGATATGAGAACTTCTTCACTTCTAAAATCTCCAAAGATCATAGACATAATATATTTAAGTAAAATTAGTCATTTTATAAGTAATATTATCTATTTTGTAGTTCAATATTGTACCAATCTTCAATTGAATCATACGAATAGAATTTTCTTAATAAGAAAAAAAGTTTAATTAAAAATGCTAATGAATTTAATTCAAATTGTTTAACATTTTAACAATTTGATATATTGTCTACAAAATAAATTATCATGTATTTATTTTAATGTATTATTTATATAATTACATATTTAAAAAATATGAAAGCATATATATTTTATTTGTGATTTATTTTTGCGCTTGTATCAATTAATTAAAGTCAAATTGAATTATTTGAAAGCCTTCGAAAAGTCTTGTATGTTTATGTCATACAGTTTTTCTTAATTTATTGCGGTTATCAACTTACCATTAGGAAATTTAAAACAAACAGAATATATGTGAACTATATTAATAAATTATAAATTAAATCATTTGATAGTTTAAAAATAAAATCAAATATGAAATCATACATATATTTCATACAACTGATTACCTCACCTTAAATTCATTTAAACAATTAGGATATAAATGATAAATACTATATAAATTTTATATATAATTAATATACTAGTACCAAAGTTCTAAGATTAATGATCTTTTTTTGTGGCTATACAAAATACTTAGAGAACATTAATACATGATACTATACTTGTGAAAATCCGATAAAAAAATAGTTAGCTAGACAAATCTTATTTATAATATCTCAAGCAATTTTTTTTTCAATAATTGTCACATGAAGACTTGAGCAGGTTCGGAATCACAGGATCAACCTTTATGTAAGGTAGCAAACCTACCACCGAAATAGGATGCTTTGGTCTAATCAGCCACTGTATGTGACGTTCAAATGATTCGAGTATTCACAAGAACAGCTTTGGATAGGAATGGAAATTTGATGACGACCCTACGCAATAGCGGTATCTGGAAAACATATGTGAATAGACTAAGTTCTTAAATTGTGATTATAATTTATAGAACATGCCATAATAATAACAAAAAATAATGTAAAAGTCTATTTTACCAATAATAATAATTACTACTTAATATAGATTTGAGATGAACTATATATGCACCACTCGAAAATATCTATGCAATTATATTGATTGATTGAGGGTCAATATTGATTGAGGATCATAGTATTTTTCAAAACTTTAATTCAAAAATCAATAATCAAAATAATCAATTGGTGATTGAATAATACTGAACCGACTTATCAATATTCTGCACTTAGTTAAAATTCGGTTTAGTTTTTTCGATATCGGACTTTAAAGTTGTATGATTTTACTAGAGAAAGTTACAAGTGCCATCTACTGGCCACTAGTACATGTGATGTTTAACTATAAGTAAATAACACCTATTATTATAAAGTTTGTAAGTTTAGAGCGCGATATCTGACAAACCAAGCAATGTCGACATATATCACAGTGGATAAAAATTACATAGAATATTAACAGTTCCCAAAATATGTTGTGAAATCCTTGCGTCTGAGAAATTGGAGTCACACTAGGAAAATGGACTGACATTGCAAAATAGACTTTCTATTGCGATGAGCATCATAATATGAATCAACTAAGAATTGGCAGTCAACTGTATGCTTCCAAATACAGTCCAGTCTAGTCTATATCTAGTCTTTAATTTTTTTAACTTCGTCCTAAAAAACATATTCCACTGTCTTCAATTAGTTCTTCAAATTGATCGAGCATTATGACGAAGAATTATATAGAATTCGAGCAGTTAAGCTGAATACCTCAAATGTTTGAGTTAGTCATGGATGTTCGATGATGTTCAATGATGGTTAAGCAACTTTACAGTAAATCTGATTTATGTTATATTCTATTTTCATTTTGTTTTATACAAATCCGTTTAATAAAAAGTCCTTAAAGACAGTATTATCAAATATTCCAAATCGATGATGTTCGATGATGTTGGATGATGTTTGAGCAACTGTACAGCAAATCTGATTTATGTTATATTCTATTTCCATTTTGTTTTATACAAATGCGTTTAATAGAAAGTGTTTAAAGACGGTCGAATATTTCAATTCGATGATGTTCGATGATGTTGAATGATGTTCGATGACGTTTGAGCAACTGTACAGCAAATCTGATTTATGTTATATTCTATTTCCATTTTGTTTTATACAAATGCGTTTAATAGAAAGTGTTTAAAGACGGTCGAATATTTCAATTCGATGATGTTCGATGATGTTGAATGATGTTCGATGACGTTTGAGCAACTGTACAGCAAATCTGATTTATGTTATATTCTATTTCCATTTTGTTTTATACAAATGCGTTTAATAGAAAGTGCTATTATAGAAAGTACAATTTGATCGAATATTCCAAATATTCCAATGTCAAAAACCTTCAAGCTTTGAGTAGCCTCAATAATATTTAAAACACTAAAATCCATATTAAATACGAGTACATCCATATCTGAGCACTTGAGCAATAAACGAGTATATATTGATGTAAACAGTTCTGAAAAGTTAAATACAAACTATGAATTGCACTTAAATTTTAATCATTTTATTAAAATCTAATTTTGTGGTAAAATAAAAGTAAAAGATCAGAGTTCAATGTAAAAACTTTATTGTGATTAATGGGTAATTTTCGAAAAGTCAAAACTCAAAAGTAAATTTCAGTACTTGGAATTAATAATGACAGAAATAAAACAATCATTTTGTGATAAATTTTTTTAATGAATATTTTTATTTGTTGGATTATTGACTTTTTATTGCTATTATGATAATTATTAAGTACAGATAACTTTATGTACATTATTTACACAAATCATTAATTATATGTGTGCATTTAAATTAAACTAGATATAAGACTAAATCTAGACTATGATGGTTACAATAAATAATTTTAGGCTTGCAGTGTTCTTATGAATTTTTATATCTACCAGATTTGTTGTAGCCATACGACTGAATCTGATTTTAATTATTTTTTTTTTTTGCTATGAACTTATTAAATAAATTTTTTAAAATAGTTTAATTGGCTTTGTTTTAGAAAGGAACAATATAACTAAACATATAAAAAAGTGCATAAAAACTAATTAAAAGTAAAGTTATTCAAAGAATTTACGACATTATTTTTAATTATTTAAACACTAAGTCGGAATTAAATTAGAGTTACAGTAATAGTGTCAATACTTAAAATTTTTTTAAGTAAAATTGAACACTATTTGAAAAGATGATGTTATGAAGCACAAAGGATTGTTTAAAATGCTTGATTAATTATTAAAATAATGTTGAAATATTTAAGTAGTGTTTAAATAATTATGTTTTATACTTAACTATTTAAGTAAAAATTTGTTTAGAGAAAATTATAATAGAAAATTATTAATAGGATTTTTATTGGTAGTACCAAAACACTTCAGAAATATTAAGTACTTTGATATAAGAGAAAGCAGTTGGAGAAAAGAACATACTCAATATGTACCATATAGTTCGTTAACATTAAATATCTTTTTAGACTTACTATTCTATAATATTACACTTCTCCGGACTTATTTTTATACATTTCATGATAGTATACTTTAAAATTATAATTTTGTGCTTAAATATTTTATTTAAATATATTTATTATTCTAACGAGTATTGTGAAAAATCCCTTAAATGTAAGTAATGTGTTTAAAATGTATTTAAAAGAAACTATATTTCTTTAAAACTGGTTTTAGTCTATACTTAAAATCTTTTTCAAAATATTTTTTTTACTAATTATTTTAATTATACCAATTACTAAATTAGTACTGAATTTAATTAAAATATTTAACTAAATTAAGTTTCTTCCATTTGAAATTCGACACTATTTACTCTTTACTTTAAATCTTTGCTATGAACATTATGGCAAGTAGTTAACAACTGCTAGTATCTGATGAAGATACAATTTACATAATACGAAACTAGAACTATATCTTATAACAAGCAATAAAAGTAACTTAAATCAAAAATCATTAAACAACAACTACAAGTTTAATAAATAAAATTCACAATGGACTTAATTAATGGACAATGTTCGTTAGTTTAGTCTAGTAGGTTTGCTATAACTTTAAATTAACCGACAGTACAACTTGAATCACATATTTTGTTCGTCTTCATTAAATTCTACGTTTAATATAAAAAAAAAGATTTTTTTAAATAAATATTTCCAAAAAAAAAATACAAATAAAAAAAATACATATTAAATACTTTGTGCGCTGCTCCTGCTACATTGGACTCACTTAATACACTATAAGATTTACACCTTTGACTTCAGCTGTTCATTTCGTTTGCTTATATCACGTCTAATTTATTTCTATTTTAGTTTTAAAAATGTCAGCAAAGCTTTTTGTATTAGGCTTGGATTAATTGTCGAGTCTGCTGTGTAACGCACGCCGCGTAAGTTGCCATCATTGTGGTCGACCACTCCATATTCGCCAACAATGAAACCATCGTCCGTTTTTTCTTCGACACGATATTTACGATAGTTGCGTCCCTCAACAACATAAGCAACTTTGGCATCATCTTCATCTTCGCCATTACCATTACCATTTTTATTGTGATTACCACCTCCATCCTCTGAATCAGCATCCACATCATCTCCATCTCCATCTACGACATCGTCTTCATTATGATTGTGATTGCTATTTTCATCTTCATCATAGTAGTCATTGTGACTGTTGTATTGTTTGTGTTCTGGTTGTTGTTGTTGCTGTTGTTGTTGCCTGCCATGTGCAACATTCTCAACATTGCCAACATTGGTATTTGCGTTGGTGTTATATGTTGTACTGCCACTGCGTCCACCGAAGTGACTGTGTAACGTGGCCGGAGTTGTTGTTATTGCTGGGCTAATGCCTTGCACTCCATGGGCTCGTCCGTTTGTCATAACACTTACGGACTCTTCGATTTCGTAATTCTGCTCCGGGGTCGGCTGGTACAAGTCTTCAATGTGACTGCGTTCAGTTGTAAAATGTGATTGTGCACCACTGCCCGTCGCTGTTGCCTGTGCTGTTGCTGAAGAAGAAACTGCCGATGGTGATGCCGCCGATGAATGAGCATATTTTGAAACACACTTGACTAGATCTGTGGAAAAGTAATTGTAGAAAAAAAAAATTTAAATAAATAACAAATAAAAATGTTTAAAAATTTATATAAATAAACAAAAACTATAAATATGTTGCAATGGATAAAAGTGTACAAAAAAAATAAAAATAAGTTAGTTGACAATACAGTGGAAATTTATAAACGAACATTTAATTTAGAAAAATTTATTATGATAGAAAAATATAAAAAGCTAAAGTTCTTCTTAATTTTATACGATATATACTATATGTATGTAATTCTGTCCCTTTAGGTGGAACATACAGCCTCCGTTATTACTTTAAACTTTAAACCATTGAACTCTATTTATGGACAATATTATACCGTGAAAAATTTGTATTTTTAAATATTTTAAAAAGATGGTCCACGTATATAGGAACTTTACCGATTACCAGTCACTTGGCAATAGCCAATAATGTTTTTTTTGGGAGTGACTCAAGCAATTTACAAACATTCAGTCGTTGTCCAAGTATTACTTGAGTAGCTGTTTTTTATCCGCTCAAGTGCGACCTACTGGTAAGAAAACGTAGTACCTTGTTTTCATTACTCATTACTCATAACAACCTGATAAATAAAACCGAATTTTGTGTACCGAAATCCTGTGAAGATATATACAATAAATTGGTAAGAAATTTTGTCTACAGCTAACAGGACCAAAAATTGGTTTTGAAAGGACAAAGCTATGGGATGTACAAAATAACTTACAAAAATGAGCTTTATCAATTGATGAACGCAGGTAGCATTATAAGATTCTTTAAAAAGCAAAGTTTAAAATGATGTGGTACATATTGTTAGGATATCGGAAGACAGCCTACAAAATAAAATTTTTATCGGCAACTTAACGGAAAACTAAAGAAGGCAACTATAAGGGAAAAAATTGGTTTATAGTGAAGTGATAATCACATATACAGAATAGGTGTCATCAAGTGGAAGGCAAAAACAAAAAACAATAAAAATGGAAGGTTTAGACTTTACAAAGACTGTTACGTCAATGGGGATAGTGGTATTAGAAGACTCAGTAATATTAGTTATCATTTCATTTAATGCTATTAATATTTATGTGAGGATTTTGTGAAATCTTAGGTAAATATTAAATTAATCTAAAAATAATTTATATAGTACATTCTTAATATAAAGAATAATTTGATTCCTATTTTACTAAACATTATTTTTATCCCACTGTAAAGTTAGTCATCTTCAGTTTAAAATCTCATATATAAAAAATTTGTTAATAAATTTTTCTTTTTAAACAAAATCATAATGCTTCACAAATTTATTATAGGAAAATTTACCTAAATCGCAACATACCAGCTCAAAAAGAAAACCATAAATAAAGTAACAAGGGGCTTACCTCCTCTGTTGGGCAATCCTTTGGCATTTTGATTAGAATGTTGATCCGACAGTGATGAATGTCTATGCTGATGTGGCTGCTGTTGTTGTTGCACGTTTGATAAAGTTGACGCATTTAACTCCGAACATGGCCGTTGTCTATTCAAGCCATAATTTGTTGCTGGCGGCTGTGGGGTTTTGGACTGATTCGAGTCTAAAAGATGCTTCGATGATTGTTGGGGAGCATTCAATAAATCGTAAGGTAATTTATCTAAATTGAATAATACACGACGTGCCTGGGAATTTACTGGATTATTCTGCACTCTTTGCTGATATGTGGGAGTACTAGTATATGGATGTTGTCGTGGAATGGTTTGTGGTGTTGATGGTGTTGTATGTGATTCTCCAAATGCTATGCGTGAGACTATTGCTGGACGGCGTGTGGAATGTAAATAACTACTTTTAGTATCAGGTGATTTTGTGGTGGTAGTTGTAGTAGTACTTGTTGTTGTACTGCTACCCTTATTAAGCGCTTGTGGCCAATATGTTTTCGCGGGTTCACTATATACTTTTGCTGGTTGAGAGTACACTTTCGCTGGTTCACTATAAAATTTTGAAGGTTGCCCGTAAACTTTAGCAGGTTCCGAATATACTTTTTCCGGTTGACCATAGACTTTAGCTGGTTCCGAATAGACTTTTGCAGGCTCAGAATAGAATTTAGCAGGTACACCATACATTTTAGCTGGTTCTGAATAGAACTTTGCTGGTTCCGATGTATGTACATGCGAACGTGGACGTGGTATAGGACGTAAACTTTCGCTAACATTACGTTGTGCTTCTGCTAGTATACCACCAGACTGTTGCCATGTATGCAAATCGGCTACATTTTGTGAAATCGAACTGTATGATATTGATCTTGACTGTGGTCCATGGCCTTCCTTTGTGTCATGATAGATGACTGTTTGAAATGGCAATAATTTTTCTTCCACACCAGTAGGTTGTGCTGATGTGCTACCTGTTGCTGTGCCGCCAACAGCGGCGCTATTATCAACGTGCGTGCCAGCCTGTTCATGTGTTGAAGGCGTAGCCTGATTAATGTGCGACTGATTATGAGACGTGAAATTTCTGTTGCTACTGTGATACGCGCCAGTTTGCACCGAAAGTGGTTGTACGGCTGCTGGAGCTGCTAAGACATTACGTATATTCGTTGAAGCGCTGTTCACTGAATCCGTGTCATAAAACGTATCTAAATTGGCAGCTGAATTGACGCGTGCTCTATGCTTCAGCACTGTCAATGGTTCGGCTTCCTCGATTGAAAATTCAGTTTTATGTGAACGATTGATGAAGTCGACCGCTGTCATTGGTGTTGCTGTTGTGCTATGCAAACTGGCAACTGTCTTCGTTGTTGTTGCGGTTTGTGTTGGTGTTGCTGTTGTCGTTCTCGTTGTCGTTGTTACTATAATGTTTGTTGGTTTTACTGTTGTGGATTTTGTATTGGTAACAACTTGTTTATTTTGTAGTCGTTGACTGCTAACAGCGTGCGTTATTGCATGTTTCGTTTTTTCTGCAATTTTATTAATTTCATCTGACGTTCTCACACTGCCTGCACTACTACGTTTACTCGACGATGAAACACTCACAGCAACAACCTTTATTTCATCATTATTTTGTGACTTTTGTGTTTGTTGTTTATTTGTTGGTTGTCGCTTTTGTTGAGAACTATTTTTGGTATTAATTTTCTCCTTCTGTAGATCAATTTCACGTGCCACTGCATCTACAACTGCATCATCATCATCATATTCTTCCAGAAATACTATTTTACTACCAGATGTAACATACTTAACAACTTGTTTGTCATCTGCATTTTTGAAATTTGCATTTGCTCCCTTTTCCGTTTGATCTACATTACGTTTATGGGTGTTCCTATTGTGCTGTGTACCAACTTCACTATTTTGGTCAGGTTCACTCCTGCGTATTGTTCTAATGCCATTGGTTTTTGGCGTGGACTCTGCGCTACTGAGTGCATCATCACGTTCAAGAAATATTTTAAGAAATTCATTTCCTGTAATGAGATCACTCTCCGCCGATCCTCTCATCGGTCGTGCAACTATAACCGGCACTCTAGTCAGCATCTGTAAATAAAATGAGTATCATTTTAATAAAATTCATGTTAAATGTCAAAACAATATCATACATCTTATTACTTCAGTTAGTATTGAATGCATTTGTATTGCCAGTAAGTGTTAAAAAAAACAGTTTATAATATCTTACACTGACAAATAATAAATTTTATTACCAGAGTATAGTATTTACACTCTTATTGTTAATGTTATTGCTTTATGATTTAGTTTATATGTCAAATAAATTATTATTCGAATAAATCTCAAAAATTTAATGTCAGTTTAAATTTTAATATGCGCTATATATATTTACTTTTATGGAATTTATGCAATGAATTAAATATAATAAATGAAAAATGGACAATAAATTTTTACTTGAAATTTATTATTTATATTAAATGCATTTTTATTAAATTTATTCTTTCCATAACTGAATATTTTATTCATTAATATTTTATGTTTTGACTAATTAGCACTTCATTTCAATTGAAACTTATTATATTTTAATAAATGTTTTATTTACACTTACTTATTTTAATAAAGTAATAATGAATCTTATTACATATTAATAAATGTTTTATTTGCACTTAGTTATTATAATAAAGTAATAATAGTCAACTATTTTAAGGTTATTAATTCATTCAGCATATAAATCAAAAGACTTAAGACACAAACCTTTTGCATTAGTTCGCCTCAGTCGCTTACTATGCCATATTTCTCATGTATGATTATTGATATAATTTGCATTACGTGGCTTGAATTAACGCCATTTTAACCATTACGAATTGTTATTAAAAAAAAGTTATAACGATTTTATGCTCTTGAAAATTATTTATATGCCAATAACTGTGCAGTTATATTATAAATGTTTCACATAAAATTGAAACTAATTTGCATATTATTTGCAAGAACTTTAATTTATTAACTCATACAAATCATTTATGAATAAAATACTTTCCTATAAAAGCCAACACATATATATATAATATTCTATATGTGTATGTTATTCATAAATTTTAAATAAATTTTATTAAAAACTCTATTATTAATAAATATATTCCAAATAAAAAAAAATTATATTAAATGTAATATAACAAAAACAACATCCGGCAGTAATAAAGTTAATTTTGCTGCATTGGCTATGATATAGCCAATCTGATTGTCAACATATCAACGATGTGCACTTTAATCATATACGTCTAAGCAACACCCCAACAATCCAACAACGAGATCGTTTTTGGATTTGCCTTTATCTCGGCGTGCCAGGCTGCAATTAAGTGGGCGAGTTTTTAGATCATATTTACTAGATTGTTTTTTTGTTTGTTGTTGCTTACAGTTCTAACAATTGCCAATATTTGAAATGACAAGAACAATCACATTTAAATTAAGTGCTTTGAAAGTAGATAAATTTAAATTGCATAAAAAAATGTTAAGTCGACCTTAATGACTTTATTCAATGCACTATGCTTCTGTTTAAATCGGGAAAGTAAAAATAATTTATCTTTATTTTTGCAAAATATTAAAAAGGATTTGTTTAACTCAGTCGAACCTTAAATATATTTTAAATAAATTTAATAATAGATCATTGGCAAAAGTTTAATATTTAGAAGCTTTTGAAGTGACAGCTATATAGAAATGACCGACCAATTACATGCATTACTTATGTAAATATGTAATTTTTAGTTTTGTTTAATATAATTCCATTCATAATTTAATTTAAAAATTAGCTAAAAAAAAAATTTCACGATCAATGATAAGTAATGAATGAAATTAAACTACAAAACCTAATTTCGAATAATCCCATATATCAACCACCAATGGTCTTTTCAAAATGTTACTTGGTTGAATCAAAAAAATGAATGAATCAATTAATGTTTATTTTTTCTGCTTCCAAGTAGCACCTATCAAGTGCCAGTCTTGACAAAATCAATTTTTCGTACACTGATTAAGAAGTAACCTTATATTTGTTTAGCGAATTTTCTTTTAGGACGAAAATGACTCGAAGGATATTTTGTTAAAACCACTTACACAAGAATAGCTTTGCGCAATCACAGAACGTTCAAAAGTATAATTGCAAAAATAACTTATACAAAGACATTGGAAGACAATTTACGCTCTAGACATCTGGGTCTCCAGCAGTAACAAGTTAAATGACCAAAATTAAGGTTGTAAAGGGTTAACAAATAGTTATTATTTAAAGAGATATGAACTTCATGTCATCAACAAACTGAAATAATTATATAAATATTTTTCTATTAGACATCTTTCTACAAATTCTTCCTTCCTTCTTAAAGAGCGCACCATACGAAAGGCTCTAAGTTTTGAATATGGTTTATTGATAGTGTAAGCTTATTTCATCCATGATAATAAAATTCATTAATGCGAATTGTTAATTGAATCAACTCGGAAATGTAGTTTGTACTATAAGTAAATGTATCATAAGTATTAGTATGTACTATAACTATTATAAGTATTAGTATAGCTCTGATATATGGTATATATCGGTACTAAATATCGAAATTTTAAGATACTTAGGAAGTAATCCAGATTTATTTTGTCCTGGCCCCATACTAACAACTGCAAATACCAGAATTTATTGATTTTATTTATAAAATCAAACCTTTAATCTTTACTCTATCAACTGGTCAACATTGGAAAATTCTTCGAGTATTGGAAATTTAAAGAAATTTTTTGTTGGGGACTTGAACTCTATTTTTGTTAAGTTTCTCTGTTTCTGTTACTTTATTAGTCAATTATTAGATATTCTCAAAAACATTACTCATAATTAATTTAAACTTTCATTTATATAAATTTCACACACGTTTACTCGACTTCCTATTTCGAGTGATGCCATTAGCGTTACGATCTTTATTTTATATCGTAACAATTATACATTACTGCAGCAGTATCATTTGCTGAACTTAATCCTATTCGCTGGTATAAAAATTCTTGAGCATTTCTAAATACTTCGTAATGACAATTTTGACTATATTGGCCCGACGACCATTAGTCATGAACTGACGTAACAAAAACCGAGTATAATGGAATGCAAAATTGTAAAATTAATAAAAATATTTAAACAGCTTTTGTTATCTCATATCTGTTCCAAATGATTTTTACATCTCTTTACGAAGGTTGTTGATGTCATTAACTTATAAACCCATGAAATTGGCTATATCTACTCTAGTCTCAAATTACTCATTTTGAGAGGTCCACTAACTAACGAGCTAATGAAATTGTCTATATCTACTCTGAACACAAAAAGCTTATCTTGTTGAGAATAAATATACTAAGAAAAGCTCTTAATTTGACACATAAAATTGCATTTTCATATACAAGTATTATGCATTTTGTACATATAATTTGAAAATGTTTATTAAATAATATTATTAATATATTACAAATATTAATATATTAAATAGTAAACAATATTAAATATAAAAAAGTAAATAATCCTGTGATAGAAAGATAACATAATCCAAAGAAAAAGTCTTTTTCTAAACCAACAATAAAATGAGAGAATGGCGAGAGTAAATGCTTTGAAATGACCTATTAGAAATGACCTATTAGAAATGACCTATTAGAAATGACCTATTAGAAATGACTCATTTGGTGTCAGTGTAGCACAAATGTGCGTTAGATCCGGTGCTTAATGATATCATATACTTTATTGTAAGTAAATAAATTTTTTAATCCCAACTCAGCAATGATTTACTGTATAAATATCACAACTATATTATTAAGTACAAAATGAAGCTAAATCTCATATAACATTAAAAATAATAATAGTGTATATATATAGCTATTATGTCAGATGAACTTAATGTATCATATGATGGAGTGTAGTGCAAGACAAAAGATTTAATAGCACTAACATTGAATTATAAACACCTTCGCATAGGCGATCGTATTACTAAGCAATTTTCATAAACGAAGCTTTTGTTGTTCTATTGGTCAAACGGACAGACTGCCTTTTAAGTATAAAATTGCAGAGGTACACACACATAAGCTTTTGTTACAATTAACTTGTCCCACAGTATTAAGTCATTTTTAATTGGAATTTAACATTGACATAAAAGCACTGAAAGGAATTCAATTGTAAAAATTATTAAGCAGAAAAAATAAAATTATAACAAACCTTAAATAAACAAATAAAGCGGCATTTAAAGAACCAAAAAAAAAAAAACAAAAAAAACAAAACAGTGACAAATATATTTTATTACCTTTGATTAAAGTCATAACCTCCTTAAAATAGCAAAATGCTTTAAGTGTTTTAACATTTAATGTTAAAATTAACAGAATTGTCTAAGAATAGATTTGAACATACATACACTTAACACCTATTGTGCTTGATCCGTACATTTGAACTTCTATGAACCGTTTTTGTCAAAGGAATTCCTTGACGTCATTGCGGCTTAAGGCCAAATATAGCAGTGAGTGAACTTTATGAATAATAAGCCAAATATAAAATACACAAAATAATCCTGTTATATAAAAATAATAATAATGGAAAGAATGATTATTGTTCTGTTGCTTTTAGTACTCTTGACACTTGTCATTAAATTGTGAAAGGCTTTTTTGTGGCAAAGTGCGGGCAGACTACGCCTGCAGGAAACGAACGATTGTACTAGAAACGATCGATTTGTATGGCTTCTGTTTCTGTTCTAAATTGCGACATTGTGTTGATTTAACAGCGAACGAAGAACAAGCATTTAATGTCATTTATCATTTAATTGTTGCGCTTTCACAACAATCGCCACATATTCCATTGACAATTTTCACGCCTGTCAACTTAGCGGAAGTCTTGGCCAATTAACGTATCTCTTGCTTATGTATCGCGGCTAAATAATTAGTTTTAACGTTTTGTCAAATTAGCTTAATGTTTTGTTAAAGTAGCCATAACGAAGTAGTATGGTCTTGTCTTTGAGGCGTTTAAGGCGTGTAAGTGATGTTAAGCCGTCAAGTGGTGCGAGAACTGCAGCATATGGCAAGGCAAACAATATCCGCATCGC